TCAAGGCATCTCTTAACGTCCTTTTGAAGCCCAATTTGACCTTTAGCACTTAAACTATACCACAAGAAGATTGGAGCTAAGCCATTTCTGCTTCCAGAAATTGTGGCATCTACTGAAGCAATGTACTCAACTTTTCTTGAGAGGTTGTTAATGTAACTTTTCCTTGTTATTTGAATTCCACAAGGCATTGGACATCCCAAGAACTTGTGACCAGAAATTGTGACGCTTCCAATTGGTTTCTTGAATGAAATCATCTATTGTAAAATACAATCGCAAATGTTAGAGATAATTTTATCTTAAGCTATATATAATACTCGAATATTTTAAGATGTCAGTAACAAAAACGAACTTACATTTTTAATAAAAGGGATAATAAGCCCATTGAGTGCTGCATCACAGTGAATGTAAAATTGATCATATGTATAACCACAATCTTTAAGTGTTTGAAGAATAATATCAAGATCATCAACAGCTCCTTTGAAGGTAGTACCTATAGTAAAAATTACAATCATTAACCAAAATATATATGATAAATTATCCTCAAACTCTCTAGCGAAAAATGAACAAGATTAAAGGGATGATAATAGAATATTTACCAATTGTAACATTAATTATTGCTGGTTTGCCCTTATTTTGAAGTAATTTTGCTTTCAAATCTGAATAATCCATTTCTCCATGTACAGATGTGTTAACCATTTCAAAATCCATTCTGTACATCATTGCAGCTTTGGCGACCGAATAATGAGAGTCTTTCGATGCATATAATATCCCAGTTGGAAGTAATTCTCTCCTGCAAATATAAAGTTAAAAATTAGATTTAGTAATAAAAATAAAACTTCTATTTTAATTGCTCTCGTAAAATTAGTGATATCAATTATTAATATTTTAAAATTTTACTCATATATTTCAACATTGACTTTCTGACCCCAAATTTCTTTAGCTTTGTTAGATGAGAAACAACTAGCTAAGAGTACTTTTTTTTTTACAAAAGTAAATAACTTCTTTCATTGAAATAGAATTTATAACCTTGGGTGGCTGATTAGGTGCTTAATTATATTTTGCATAAAGCTAGAGTGGTTGAAGAAAGTGTTTTGGGCTCACGCAATCAAACATAAAAAATTAGGATATATAAAACTTTCTCAAAATATTTGGCTAGTCTATTTCCAAAATTCTTTTTCTTTTCAAAATAGGAAAACTAATTGATAGAGGAAATTAAACTAGTAAAAATTGGTGCATACCCCACCAAAATGCCATGGAGATTTCCTTCAGTGCCGCCATTTGTAACATAACCCCAATATTGATCTTTTTCAATTTCCCATAAGTCTGCAAACCAATTCAAAACAGCCACTTCGAAATCTTTTGAATGGAAATCCACAGTGTTTTGAAGAAATGGATCACCACAATTATTTAAGTGGAATTGCAAAAGTGGGGCTAAGCTAGCGTAGTGCTCATAGCATATATTCACTGGATAACCTGAAAAATATTATAATCGAATAAGATTTCAACAACTCAATATTTAAAAATTCTCAAAAATAAATAAAGAAGTTATCCTTTTTTAAATAAATAATTTGTCTAGTCCTTATATTCATCGGAGGACAACTGTACCCTTGCTTGTAAACATGCATTTTATAAAGGACAGTTAATCAAATTCATTTAAATAATGGTAATCTTGACTGAGTTAGCCTGTTTTGATAGCTCTAATTTGAAAATTTTGAAAAGTATATGCCTTAAATTCTATGTTCAAGTACTCCAATTCAATTATTTCCTAAAAGAAATTGCCAACCGTCATAGTGGAACGAGTAATAGACCGTCTTGCATGTCAATTTTGTCTAACACATAGTAATATTTTATATAGTATCAAGGAACTTTAGATGGGGAGGCTGGGCACAGGGGTAGAGTTAGATGAGCAGAATAAGGGTTCATTGCCAAAAAATCACATCGTATATGCAATGCCCTTTCTTCATTATAAATTGTCTTAGTAAAAATTCTACCTTTGCAATTGATTGGACAATAATAAAAAGAAATACAAATTACCAATATGATGGGGAGGTTGGGCATGACCATATCTAAAGGGGCAGAAGGGGTTCATATCGAAAAATCAAACCATATATGTCATATTTTTTTTAATATGTATATATATTAGAAATTGACTCGCTTAGTGAAAATTTTGCATGTATATGCAAGAATATTATGTATTCTAAAGAATAAAAGACGACTTACCTATATGATAGTTGATACGTTGGGAAAGTGTGTCAATATAATTCATCAAAATACAGTCGAGACTTGGTCCATCATTTCTGGACCCTGGCTCTGTAACTGCAACATTCAAATTCTTCCTTGGTGTAGTTGGTGTTGCCACCTTTAGTCTTTTCATTTCTCCAAAATCTCCATTTGCTATTAAACCTCTGGGAGTTACAACCGATGGCTCAAAATCCTTTGAAGTATCACACAAGAGAAACCATATTAATTTTCAAAAACATGAACATAATTGTTTTTTTGATGATTTAGAAGGTATTAATAGACCTAAAAAAAACCATGCAAACAACTAAAAATGATAAGAAAAAGAATGTTCTGTGTTTGTCTGTGTGTTTCTGTTTTTTTGGTTTCCTTTGTCTTCAAGACAAGATATTAGAAACCATGCAGAAAGATGAAGCAAGAAAACAAGAATAGGATTAATTAACCTCAAGTCCTCAGCTAAACCAAAAAGAAAAAAATGAAGATAAAGTTTCTTTTGGGTATTAATGAAAAATGATAATAATTCAATTCCATAATCTGTACACTACCCATGAGTTATATTTTCGTTTCATAAATAACAAAAAAAAAAAAAAAAAAAAAAANTCCGAATAATTATTTTTTTGGCGAAGTAATGGAGGTTGTAATGATAAGAAGAAATTGAATGAAATATTAGAATACCTTCTCAAATGATAAGCTTCCCATTCTTGGAGAGCTAAAGGTATTTTGAGTTCTTTTTTGTTAGCTTGGAATGGAAACTAAGTGTGATAGAATTATGTATAATATCCTTGGGATTATATAGGTCTAAAACATCGTGGGTTTGGGCACCAACCACAATTTACTTTTTTATTTTTATTGTTTTTCCTTTACCTTTACTCTTTTCTTCTTTTATCATCACCTTTTCCCCTTGGTTTCCTTTCTTTCCCACTTTAACAAGTCTTTGAGTACTATTGGCAAAAAGTCCCCTTACTTATTTTGGTGTGTGGCCAGTTTTTTGACCTCGTGTGACAAAAGACTTGTTAGACTTTGCTAGCCATTCTCTACCAAATTAATTGGTAGGTGAGAAAGTAAATCCAAAATAAGTGTATTATTCATGCACAAGTGGTGGTGTCTAAACTCGAGTTTGTAAATGTTTCATTATTTTTTTTTAAGCATTATCACCAACCGCTAATGTCATTTTTGTACGTTCTTAGCATACGATTAGTTTTTGATTTGATGTACTACAACTACTTCTTAGCTAAGTTTTACTCCACAATATAACTTCAAACCATTTTTTACCCCCAAACTGTGGGAAGGCTTATATAACTTATAACATTGAGCGGATGTAGAGTCAGAATTTGAAATTTATGAGTTCAGGATTAAAGTTCTTATAGTTAATTAGTTATAACTTAATAATTTGTACATATTCAATGAATTTCTTAAGACAAATATATGATTTGGACAAAAGCTACTGGATTCAACTGAACCCGTAGTTAAAAGGCTGGCTCCGCCCGGAGTCATTGAGTATGTAAAATATACTTTTTACACTATTAGGGTGTTTAAACTTGTTATAGCCGGTATTTCTATCGTATTTCCATGTTACTAATCTCGTGGACAATTGTAATTGTCTTTAGGGATAAAGATTCTTTTTACACTATCAAAAGTTAAACACTTGTGAGAAAATAGTTTCTCTATAATTTAGGAAAGTGACCCACTTCTTGTCATGAGCTTTCCCCTATATAAAGAAGGTGAGTCGAACCTTACACCAAACACACACACACTATATATTCTAACTTGTTGGAAATGAGGGGCGTGAATAGTAAATAGAGGAAATCAAGAGGATCCACATGAAATATTTTGATTTGACGTAAAAATGTACGACGAGATTTCGTCACTCTTTGTAACTTTTCGCCGATATTTACTTTTTGATCTTGGTCAGGCAGTAAATAAAGTATACAGAATGACACTGTACGTTGAGCTAGGACAAGGATTGTGCATACAATGAAATCCAAAAAGAAAAAACAAAGAAATTTTGATGTAATTTTGAATAACTAAATGAATATAATAATAATAATAATAATAATAATAATAATAATAATAATAATAATAATTTACCTTTTCTCTTATAAAAAACGTGCGTTAGGCCACAAGAGCATAGCTAGAATTTAGGTTACGGGAATGAAATATATACAAATTAATAATTTTAAATTTAATAACTCAAAAAGATTAGAAATCAACCCCTTAAACTTTAAATTTTGGTTCCGATTTACGTAAGGGAACAAGTTATTCACTGCCAAATAGTTTGACAAAATAGTTCTCTTCTAAAACATACTATTTTTTTTTTCCACCATTATTGTTGCATAAACCTTTTGAGAGTTACATAATGCTTTTATTGATCATGGAAAAGATCAAGATGAATAAAAGGTACTCAAGACGAAGTAAAATTGTAAAGTGAGGAAATAGAATGAAATTAATTGCACTGTCTTAAATCAAGTCAAACCAATTAGGTACTTTCAAAAAAAAACAATTAAACAAGAAAGTAGTAAAAAAAAAATTCGGCCTCTTTTATACAGAAGAGCTTTTGACATGCATTTAGCCAGCTGTGTAATTAGTTGCCTGACATGAATAATTTCATTTATTTTATTTGTTTGATCAGTATCTTCAAGAATATTTGAATAATATTATAGAAGGAAGATTTCAATGGTTTTGTTATTTGTATGACGGAATTTGGGAGGTGGAGAAAATATATACCTTTAAAAGCTTAATTTAATATCTTTACAAATTTTTAGAGTGAAAGTTGAAAATCAGCCTTAGCTCACATTATTTTCCTTTTGAGGAAGGTGTAGGTGGACTATCCAATTCTAGGTAAAAGTTGTTCACTCTTAACTATATTTTAACAGTATGGTTGTTAATTGTTATTAGTGACCAGTGAAGCACTACTGACAATGCAAAAGCAAGTGCGCTTACATATTACACCTAACACAAATATTACTACTACTTAACGGTTATGGTGGAGTGATAACTGATAAGTATTCTTTTATTCTTAACCTACGTTTTAAGGTTCGAGTCTTGAGTATGAAGTCGTATTTAATTTATTAAAGAGCATTTTACCCCGATATAGAATTTCTTGGCGCGAGTTCGAATTTAATCAAACCACTGTGGCTAATTCAGATACCGAAAATCGAGTGAAAAAAATATTACCATGGTGTTATAATTGTTGCCTAATGTGGGACATATATATCTGCCAAAAATTCGAATTTGATTTGTTTTATCTTATTTACCATTAAGTCGTAAAACTAAGAAGTATGTACGTGCTTGCAAAAGTTGGTATGTCGATCAGAACTCAATAAGTTAATTATAACTTAATTAGCAGCAAGCCATTTTGACTTGGTTATATCTTAACTCATGTTCAACACGGTAAACTCAATATATATAAAAGAAACATTTCACAATTAATCTCATATATACCTAACAAAACCCATGTATAAAATAAATACTATATCTCAAATTGTCATTTGAACTACTCAATATATTACTCATATCACTAATATTGGTTAGGAGTGCATGTCTGCATGAAGTGAGACTACAACATTATTCATGGATTTTTTAACAAAATAATTTTTTTTTTTTAAAGAAAAAAAGGTGTTTGCAAACATATGTGGGGTTCATCCACAATTCTAGCTATCTTTGATAGTAGACTTCAGCTTGCAGGCTGATCCAAAACTATAAGGTTTAACAATAATACTTAAGGTGCAATGGTATACTTCTTCATCCTTAATCAGAGATCTCAAATTCAAGATTTGAGTATGAAATTGATAGAACATTTTACCCTCTAATGTAGAATTTTTGGGGGCCTAGTACGAACATCAGACATTAGATGAGAAACCAAAAAATATATATAAACTCTGAAATAATGAAACGAGATGGCAATAGGTAGTTAATCAACTCAATAACCAATAACGTTACCGGTGTTATCTTCGCCACAACTACTGAGGAAAAAAAAAATTAAAACCTTACAACATTCTCACATGATCACTTTAAAGTGGCTTCAAACTACATTTAGGGCCGTTTGACCATAAAAAAAAATCATTTTTTTCGATTTTTTTTTTTTTTGGAATTAGTGTTTGGCCATGAGAATTTTAAATTTCAGTTGAAGTTGAATTCGAAATTTTTCGAAAATTTAAAAAACTCCAAAAAGTTATTTTTCAAAATTTTCACTTCAAATCACTCACTAAAATTTAGAAACAACTCCAAATTGTACTCATATCCAAACACAGCTCTAATTTTCAAATATCATTTTTACTTGATTTTCTTTTTATTTTTTTCGGAACTTCACAATTCTTATGTCCAAATGCTCACTTACGACATGCTCGAGGAGATCAGAGGCGGATCTAGGATTTCTGGAATATGGGTGCACCACGAAGGAAAAGGAGATAAAAGGAAGTATTCCGTGGGAAATGATCTCTGTTCCTCTAGGTAAATAACTCAACACTTAACCAAGTGCACCATTTGACCTCTTTAGAGCATGGGTGTCAGCGGACAATATTAGATCAATTTTAGAAATTATGTACATAAAATATCTAGTTTAGCGGAGAGACAATGGGTTCACTTGCCCATAAAATGGGTTATAAATCCGGCACCCCTGGAGGAGATTAGGACGATGTTAATTTAATTTCAAAATTTCTCAATTATTTGAACAAAAAATTATTATTCCAACTTAACATTTTTAAGCAAGATTTAATATCCTAAAATGACAAGAAGAAGGTAATAAAAAGATATTCTACCCAAGTCACTCTTTTTCCCCTAAAATATTACACGTTTCAGAAATCCTTTTAACACATTTAACATGAAAAGTAATGGTTCGATTAAACAATCTGGAATCCACATGCCACTGTTCAAATTGTACTAATATTTTAGCCATTAAACCCTTCGCTTCTATTCCAAAAATGTAGGTGGTGACATAACATCTACCTACTAAAAACCCTTCAATTGTATTTCTAGAATTTTTATTTTACCAATAAGGGCTATATATATANCGAAATTGACTTTAGAAGGGAGCGCTTTACTTTTCTTGTAATGTGAGATCTTTCGAACCAACTCAAATTTATAGCCTGTTTGGGCAAATTTTTTTTTTTAGGCCAAAAGTATTTTTTTCTAAAAAATTGAGGTGTTTGGCCATACGTTTAGAAGGAAAAAAGTTATTTTGAGGAGAAACAAAAACAGTTATTGAGAAGCAGAAAAAAGTAGCTTCTCCCTGAAAGCACATTTGAGAAAAATACACTTAGAAACAGTTTTTAAAAGCTTGACCAAACACTAATTACTGCTCAAAAGTACTTTTCAAATTAATTAGCCAAATACAAACTGCTTATCACCAAAAATACTTTTGTATACGGTCGAAATCGGGCATGTCAGATTTCGTAGGCACGAGGAGCTGCCTCGAGAGTAAGCTCATAATAGACCAGGCTCGAGCTCAATGGCAGAGTATGGAGCATGAAGATCGAAGTGCTCGCTGAAGAATCGAGACCGAGCATGACCGACTTCGAGTAAGGCATAATAACGGAATGGCGAAATATTAGCAACCGACCGAAGATCTCGGCGAAAATCCCGGAATAGATCGAATCAAGTGGTTATTGACGCTAATCATGGGATCCGTTTCCGTTATTAGAATTGTACCTTATTTAGGATTCCTCTACTATATAGAGAGGGACCCTATTCATTTGTAAGGGGCATTGATTCACTGGTAAAGATATAAAAAAGCGTTGCTCTCTATTTTATTTACTATCCATTACTGTTCATTATTGTTTATCTTTCGCTC